TCTCCTCTTGGGATCTTGGGCGGGCATGCACGCACACATGCCCGGCGTGAGTTTAAGCCACCGGGTCTGGGACGCGAACCATGGTCGACTATGAGAAAGTCCAGCATCACAGCCATTATGCTAACTGCTGTTCCCGAGATGTATCTCTATGGAATACCATTCAGTCATGAAAAACAACAAGACCCTGGCATTTGATAGAAAGTGGTCAAATAGAGATTTATTGCTGAGTGAAGCAAGTTAGATTATGAAAAAAAGATATTGTATGTATCCACTTAATATATACTGACTATCCACACTTTATGGTAGAGATTGAAATATTGAGAGGCATGAAAATGAAAATAGTTATGGATGCTGAAGATAGTGTGGAAAGGGGAGGGAGAGAAGAGTATAGAGAAGGAAATCAGGAGAAAAAACAGAGAGGCATGACATTTGTGGGATACAGAAATGCTTTATTACCTGTTAATTATAATATACATAGTATTCTCAACTGGACTGGTCTGAGAAGTATTTCATGTCAGGTAAATTCTCTTTACAAGCCAAATGATGTATAGTGATCAAATGTTTTAAAAAAATAATGAATAGATCAGGACCACCAAAGACCGTCTGCCCAGACTACATCCTCCTGCTCCTCAGACAAAGTCAAGGAGCCAGAGGATACAAGGGAATTCATGGAAAGTTAGATAAAGAATTTAAAATATTCATAGTGGCAAAGCTAACAGAGATGCAAAAGAAGAGAGACAATGAACTCCAGTGTGTGCAGGAGCAAAGACATGAGTTCCAGGAGGCGAGGAAGTTCCTGCAAGATCTGAAAGAGGAGATACACATCCTAAAAAATAATTAAACAAAATTGTTCAAGATGAAGGCTGTAATACAGGAAATAAAAACCCCCATCTAAAATATCCAAAGTATATTAGGTCATGCAGATGATCAAATCTCAGATGTAGAATATAGAACCTCTTACCTAGAAAAATATACCAAATAAAGAGACTCTCCCCCCCCCCCAGAAAATGAGAATAACATATCAGTGATACTAGCTACCATTAAACACCCAAACATACGGATCATTGGTATTCCAGAAGGTGAAGAAAATAATAGAAGCATTGATAATCTATTCCATGAAATCCTGGAAGAAAACTTGCCAAATCTAGAGAGGCACTCAAATATCCAGAGCCAAGAAATACAAAGAACCCCACATAGATTTAACCCAAGAAGATTTTCCCCAAGGCACATCACAGCCAGATTGACCAAAGCCACAGACAGAGACAAGATACTAAAATTGGCAAGGGAGAAACATCTAGTTATTTTCAAAGGACATCCCATCAGGCTAACATTGGACCTCTTGTCAGAAACAATGCAAGCAAGGAAAGAATGGGAAAATAAATTCAAAGTGTTAACTGAAAAACAATTTCAATGAGGAATACTACAACATTCATATGGGAAGAAAAGCCCAGAACATTCTCAGATAAACAAAACTTTAAAGAATTTATCAACACCAGATCAGCTCTTCAAGAAGAGCTGAATGAAGTGCTGTACCAGAAAAACTAAAGACAGACAGAAATAAGAGAAAAATAAATGACCCAGGAAAAGGCCAACTTAATGGTAGGGACAGCTTCAGATATATCAATAATAATGTTGAATGTTAACTTCTGGGATTTAAATGGAAAGATCAAACCACAGTAATACTGCAATTAAATAGAAGAAACATTAATTGCATGAGTCTAAACTAGTGAAATAGAATTTTTTTGACTTTAGACTAAAACATTACTGATTCTTGTCAATGCTTTGATTTCCATATTTAAGGGTATTTGTCTTCCTTGAACTGTTGATAGGTACAGCTACCTACTATTTGAACTGAAATCTAACCTTTTTCCTGGATTTAAGTTTTGAGAAATTTTCTCTTAACATTTTTTTTTTATTTTGATCTATTAAAACTAAAACTGTTGGAACCAGCAGTTAGTGTAATGGCTATGTTGCTGGACTCCCATGTAGTCGATCACGGTTTGCTTCCCAGACCCGGTGGCTTAAAAAAACTCACCCGGGGCACGTGTGCATGTGTGCCCAAGATCCCGAGAGGAGAATGGAGAAGAAGGGATTGCAGCATGGCCATCCTCCCTGGGGGGGGGGGGGGGGATTTCTCTCACTTTCTGTCTCTCTGTCTCTCTCTGTCTGGTGAGCACACACGCCCTATAGCAAAAATCTCTCTCTCAAAAAAAAAAAAACCTAAAACTGTTTTTCTTGAAATTAAAAATTAATGAAAAATACCTATTAATACCTATTTAATGACTGCAGCAAGCTATATAGCCTCAGTAAGGTGCTATTTTATATTATGTTCACTTTACTCACTGAGTTTTATGCCTAAGTCAGACATGTATTTATATATCTATATCTATCTATCTAGCTATCACCTGTGTTTGCTATTGAAAGGTTTTAACTTAATTAAGATCTTTAGTGAATCAATAAAATGTGAAAAAAAAGGCATGGAAAACAACCATAGATACCAAAGACAATGTGGGATAAGGGGGTAATTAATAGAGGGTGAGAGGTAGAGAACCAAGGGGAAATAGAAAAGCAAAATATATAAGAAACAAGAAATAGAAAATCATTTGTTGATGATAACACGTATGGTAATATCCTTGATTGAGCCAATATACAATGTATTCTGGATGGAAAAATCTCATTTTGTGTACTGTATTGGCATATATGGAAAAATCTCATTTTGTGTACTGTATTGACATACAGTGAATGACTGTACATAAATAAATAAATAATAACCTGAAAAAAAAAGGCAAAGAAATATACAGTTTGGAGACCGATGGGGTGTTCTCATGGTAAAGTCAAGTTTCGATAAGAACAAAAAAGTGAAAAGAAAGTTCAGAGAATGCTTTGTAAAAATAGGGGTGTGGCAGTCAGCCACCATCCAGTGATCTTCCTCTCTTGTTATTTAAGCTTGTTTATAGTCTCCTTAACATAGTCAGTCAGGACTGATTTGCGTAGTCAATAGCTATTGTGTAGAGTGTTCATGAGCTTTCTGTCCTCCATTTCCGCATTAAAAATAGTTAATAATAAATACATAGAGCGATTTTTTTTAAAAAAAAGGCATTTGACTTGTAATTTCTGAAACAAGGTCATTAAAGGCTGGGTGGCTTCTACCTGTTCTCTTAGATCAATGGCTCTTGGTGAATCTAGTCATCATGCCATGAAAACACTCACATAACCTTGTGGCGAGGTCCTTGTGGAGAGAAAGAGAGACTCACCACAGCAATCAGCACCAATTGCCTGCATGAGAGAGAACTACATTGAAAGTGGGTCGGGATCAGCAGTTAGCATAATGGCTATATCGCTGAACTCCCATGTGGTCGACTGTGGTTCAAGTCCTGGACCTGGTGGCTTAATCTCATGCTGGGCATGTGTGCGGGTGTGCCCAGGATACAGAGAAAATGGAGGAGAAGGGATTGTGGTGTGGCCATGCCCCCTGGGGGGTGATTTCTCGCTTTCTGTCTCTCTATTTCTCTGGTGAGCGCACACACCCTGTAGCAGCAAGAAAAAAAAAAAAACACCCTGGAGCAGCAAAAAAAAAAAAAAAAAAAAAAAAAGAGAGTGGGTCATTCGGCCTCAGTCAAACCTTTGGATGACTACAGCCCCAGCTGACATCAGGCTGCTACCTCATGAGGGTCTTCATGCCAAAACTATCCAGCCAAGCTTTATCTAATTTCCAGTTGGTGAAAATTGTGCTGTATAATATCATTGATTTTTGTTTTAAGCTATCAATTTTTGGAGTTATTTATTATGCAGCCAATATATTGACAATCATCCAGAAAATCTATTGATAACTGATGCAAGTTATTTTCAGAAAATGATTATAAATTTCAGAAGGCACAATGGGTAGGTTTCAGGAGAAAGTGATAGAATAGGGTATACAGAGAGCTCTAAGGGGATGAGGAGAGAGAAATTGAGAGTTTGTGATGGCTGACATAAACAGGCTTTTTTTTTTTTTTTTTTGGAGGTTTTCGCTATAGGGGCAGATTTTTTTTGAGAGGTTTTCGCTATAGGGCACATGCGCTCGCCAGACAGACAGAGAGAGACATAGAGACAGAAAGCGAGAAATCACCCCCCAGGGGAGATGGTCATTCCGCAATCCCTTCTCCTCCATTCTCCTCTCTGGATCTTGGGCACACACGCACAAGTGCCCGGCGTGAGTTTTAAGCCACTGGGTTCGGGACGTGAACTGTGGTCGACTACGTGGGAGTCCAGCGACATGGCCATTATGCTAACTGCTGGTTCCCCATGAACAGGTATTTTTTAAAAAAGATCATTATTAAGACAGAGAACTGTGGTGAGGGAGTGTGATTAGTGGTGAAGAGGAGGGAGTTTCTTCACCTTTGGTAATGAGAATAAGAGCCCAGGGAAGAGCAGTCCCAGGGTTATTTAATCCTTAGCCACTGGTCTTATCAGGGTGCTCTAAGTAGGTCACTATTGTAAATACAGCTTGTTTCTTAAACAGTTGACTTTCATATCATTATCCTTATTTCATAAAGGAGAAAATTAATATCTAAAGACTTAAGTCATTAGTCTGAGGTCACGGGACTGGTAAGGCAGAGTCAGAATTTGAATTTAGGCCACCTGACTTAAGATTTTGCCCTCATTTCCTCTTTTGCCTGTAGGTAAAACATTTTGAAACCAAGGAAATTCAATTTTCTAAGGGTGGGATGGAATTTGTCATCTCAGACATAGACTATGGAGTGTAATTATAAATACTCTTTTAAAAATCTCAGCAGGATACATGCACATGATGATATTTTATTCTATTTTTTATTTTATTTTTTTGTATTTGATATTTTTATTTTAGGCTGCAAAAATAAAACAAGCAAGCAAGCAAACAAACGAAAAATAAAACAAGCAAGCAAGCAGACAAATGACAACAACAACAACAAAACTTGAAATAGGCTTGTCAAATGATGTTAATTCACCCTTTCCAGGGAAGCAGAAAGTAGACCGTCCTGGTTCACTGCTGCTTGCATTCTGCTGGGTTTTGATCCTTCTTTGAGTCGTAGTCTGGATCATTTTCCTCATCTCCTTCTTCTTCCCCTTCCTCATCTGCTTCTTCACCTTCTTCATCATAATCATCATCATCATCTTCAATTGCTTCTCTAGTAAAGTATAACGCTGATCTTGGGATAATACGTTCATGTAAAAAGTGACCAATTTCAAAGTCTGCAGCAAGTATAGCTTCAGCATCATCATCCAGATCTCCACTCTCGGGAACTTCAGGAGGGGCAAAAAAATTAAAGAAGGAGTCATTGGAAACTGTTTTAGTCACAGTATGAACTGTTCCACGTCCCTTGTGTTTCTGCTTCTTCTTAATGGTTTTCAAAGTGACATTCTTCCCTTTTTTCCAATCTATCTGGCACCCTGTACAGCCCATAATTTCTGGTCCATCAAAAACAAAGGGATGGGAACCAGCAGTTAGCGTAATGGCTATGTCTCTGGAATCCCACGTAGTCGACCGCGGTTCGTGTCCCGGACCCAGTGGCTTAAAACTCACGCTGGGCGCGTGTGCGTGCGTG